CTTCCTTCCTTCCTTCCTTCCTTCCTTCCTTCCTTCCTTCCTTCCATTCATCCATCTCCAGCATGACTCCATTTCAGCTTTTCCTTTGCTCACTCCACCTGTCCTTCTCCTTTTTCTAGGACACTCACATACAGCTGGACGACGCAGTCCGGGCCAATGAAGACCTGAAGGAAAACATTGCCATCGTAGAGCGAAGGAACAACCTGCTCCAGGCTGAGCTGGAGGAGTTGCGGGCCATGGTGGAGCAGACGGAGCGGGCCCGGAAACTGGCGGAACAGGAACTCATTGAAACCAGTGAAAGAGTCCAGCTCCTTCACACCCAGGTAAGGGGGAACCGAAAGCCAAGAAACAAACTCAGCCTCAGGGGCTGTGAGCAGCCAAGAGAGTCCTGCTTTCATGAAATTATTTCCACTATCTTACATTCCAGAAATTAAAAACATCTGTTGAATTCTTCTCTTTTCTTCTCTTAACTTCTTCCTTTCTTTTTTTCTCTTCTCTTCTCCTCTCCTTTCTTCTTAACTTCTCCCTTCCTTTCTCTCTCTTTTCTTTTCCTCCTCTCCCTTTTAACTTCTCCCTTTCTTTTTCTTTCTCTTCTCCTTTCCTTTTTAACTTCTTCCTTTCTTTTTATCTTCTCTTCTCTGCTCCTCCTCTCCTCTCCTCTCCCTTTTCTTCTCTTCTTCCTTTCTTTTTCTCTCTTCTCCTCTCCCCTTTTTCTCCCTTTCTTTTTCTCTCTCCCCTCTCCTCTCTTTTCTTCTCTTCCTTTCTTTTTCTCTCTTTTCTCTCCTCTCCTCCGCCCTACTCTCCTACTTCTCCCTCTACTTCTCCTTCTTTCCTTTGTTTCTTTCCTTCTTTCCTTCTTTCCTCCCTCCCTCCCTCCTTTCTTTCTCTCTTTACTTCCTCCCTCCTTCTCTCCTCCCCTCCTTCCTTTCTTCCTTGTTTCCTTCCTTCTCCTTCCTTCTTTCCTTCTCTTCTTCTCTCTTTCCTTCCTTCTCCCTTCCTCCTCTCCGCAGAATACCAGCCTTATCAACCAGAAAAAGAAGATGGAGTCTGACCTTTCCCAGCTGCAAACAGAGGTGGAAGATGCCATTCAGGAGTGCAGAAATGCTGAAGAGAAGGCTAAGAAAGCCATCACAGATGTAAGTGAAACTTTCAGCACGTCTATCTTTCCAAGCAAGCACTAATTCCAACAAGAGGCTATTTAGAAAGCATTGTTTCTGGGCTGAAACTATCCAAGTGACCAGCAGATGGCAGCAAAAGGGAGATTTCTGTCTCTCTTTACTGCCATCTCCTGGTCACTTCAACGCTTGCAAACCCAACCTGGTATCAGATAACAGAAACAGGAGCGGTTGATTTGGAACAGATGTCTTCATTGTGCACAGGGATTTATTATTTCTAAATTAATGTCATGCTTTCTTTGATAGCTATTGTTAATTCAGGAAGGATTGTCGGTCCTGTCTTGAGATCAACTCCCAAGGCAGCCCTTCCTTTAATGTCCAAGAATAGTTTATGACCTTCAGATAAAATCTTTGCTTTCTTTGTGGAAAAACAAAAGCTAAAAAGATGGAATTCACTTCTACCACTGAGGAAAGGGGCTCTGCTGTCCCTCTTCCACACATTACCCTCCAGCCCACTTCTCTTCCTTACACCATAAAGCTGGTTTAGAAGATCCTGTGAGGAAGGAAGAGGACAAAAGTTATGTGTAAAAAAGAAAGCAAGGCTGACCATGGAGCGTCTTGTGAGGCAGGATCTCCCCTCTTCTCTGTAACAATCCGAAGTCCATGAATTGAGACACATCAATAGGTTCTCCTTTGGAGTGGTGCGGTGGCCTAGAGGTAAAACTCCCGTCTCACGATCAGGAGGCTGTGAGTTCGATCCTAGGTAGAGGCAGATTTTTCTGTCTCTGGGCACAATGAGAATATATCTGCTGAACAAAACTCCGCATTGGGGACAGGAAGGGCATCCGGCCAGTAAACACTCGGCTCCGTTCAGTTGCCCAGATTCCACCCCACAAGGGATTATGGGGGTCATTAAATGAAGATGAACAGGTTCTCCTTTGCTTGGGTCCACCATCCCACTGGAGGACAGAGCCATCCTGGGTCAAAAGGAGGACCCCAATCGTAATCTTCACATTAATAAGGAGGCTAGGATAAATTCTTGGAAGGAGTAAAGATATGAGAGGTCTTCCCAACCCAAAGTCTCCTCCTTCTATCTGGCGGACATGTTTCTCTATTGTCCTCTTGAATGGGGCAGGTGTCCATGATGACTGAGGAGCTTGATTCACTTAACCACAATGAGTAATAAGACTGAAATGAGACACATCTCCAGGTCGCCCTTTGCTCTGGTCCACCACGAGCATCAAAAGAGGACCTGTGATGTTGACATGAATAATTAGAATGTGTATTTAGGACTGATTTCCCAATTAACGCAAAGAGTGAAGCCTGGCGGACATCTTTTTCTCTCGTCCTCTTGAACGGGGCAGGCGGCCATGATGGCGGAGGAGCTGAAGAAGGAGCAGGACACCAGCGCCCACCTGGAGAGGATGAAGAAGAACATGGAGCAGACCATCAAGGACCTCCAGATGCGTCTGGACGAAGCGGAGCAGCTGGCCCTCAAGGGCGGCAAGAAGCAGCTTCAGAAACTGGAGGCCCGAGTGCGAGAACTGGAGAATGAGCTGGAAGGGGAGCAGAAACGCAGCGCGGAGAACGTCAAAGGGATGCGCAAGTGTGAGAGACGCATCAAGGAGCTCACCTACCAGGTGAGGAGATGCAGGTTAACCTGACCGGGACAACCCGGATTCGGAAGGTTTTGTGTGGCTGGATGGATCGATTGTGGTGACTTCAACAAAGCTTTTGAGGCACTCTTCTAAAATGGGTGGGATGAGGAATTTGGGGTTGGTTGGATGGATTGAACCCCATTTCCTCCCAAAATCTTATAAAACATAACCCTTTTGTACATCCGAAACAAATTCCATGAGGCAAAAAAAATACTCTAGAATTGAGTTTCCTCAACTTTGGGTACTTTAAGACGGGGGGACTTCAACTCCCAGAATTCCAGAATACTCTAGAATAGCGTTTCCTCAACCTTGGGTACTTTACAACGGGTGGACTTCAACTCCCAGAATTCCCCAGCCAATCAATTGAAGTCCACCCACCTTAAGGTACCCAACGGTGAGAAACAATACTGTAGATTCGGAACCTCATCTAGGCTAGAATGTAACCATGGTTTAGAGAAGGATTTCCTTTTTAAAAAAATGCCATTTTTTTTTCAATTTCGCAAATGCTTCCCAAATAATTAAGAGCTCGTGACGCGACCTAAGAGGTGATCTTACTTAAATTCGGTGATATAAACCAACTTTTTGCTGCAGTCAAACAAACCATCATCTCTCCATCTTGTTCTCTTCCGGTTCCTAGACCGAGGAGGATCGCAAGAATCTGATCCGTCTGCAAGACCTGGTTGACAAGCTCCAGTTGAAGGTGAAGGCTTACAAGAGGCAAGCCGAGGAGGCGGTAAGTAGCATCCATCTTTCTGTCCTTCTTCAGACTATCCTGGTTTATCACTCACCCTAGTTTATTTAGCCCATCTCAGGATGGAGAATTTCACCATCCTTTCCCATCTCTGAATATCAACGGTTACCTCAATCGTGGTGACCTATCAGGACCCTCACCCAAACCTTCTCTCTCAGCTCCTCAACATTAGTCCATTGTCCTCGACTTACGATCTCTTTGCGACAAGGTCATTAAGTGAGTCGCGCCGGATTTTTTTGATCTTTTAAGCCAACCACATGGTCATTAAGTGAGTCTGGCTTTCCCTGTTGATTAAATGATGATCACATTTGTAAATACCTGCCTATTTGCCAAATACCCAAATTGTGATCATGTGATACGGGGGACACCGAGGCAATACGAATCAGAACAGAGCTGGAAGGGACCTTGGAGGTCTTCTAGTCCAGCCCCCTGCTCAAGCAGGAGACCCTCTAACATTTCGGACAACGGACTGTCCAATTTCTCCTTAAAAACCTCCAAGTGATGAAGCCCCCGCAAGCTTTTTCAGATATTGTGGGTGCGACAATCACGTCCACAACGTGCAGAGTTGTAAATGGGAGAAAAGTCACTTTTTTTCAGCCCAGCTGTAACGTCGGTCATTAAACAAATGCTTGTACATCGAGGAATTTTTTAACCCAAAATCATATTGGAAGCGCTTATATAGACAGCTGTAAATATGCTGTATGTCAATAGCCAAGGACCCGAATAAAAAAAAAATCAAAAAAAATCATGTGGTGGTCATAAGTGTGAGGACTGGTCGTAAGTGTGAGGACTGGTTGAAAATCGCTTTCCCCCCCCCGGCACCTTTGTGACTTCAAACGGCTTTTAAGCAAACGGTCAAGGACTACCTGTCACGTGACAGACGTTTTGAATGGGGATTGGATCCCGATTTGTCTGGAGAAACACGTAGTAGCGGGAGCTCCTCGGAGGCGACAGTTCTCCGTAATTTTCAACGCATCCCTTCTCGGTTCTCCTCAGGAGGAGCAAGCCAACAGCAACTTGGGCAAATTCCGGAAGGTCCAGCATGAGTTGGACGAAGCCGAGGAGAGGGCGGACATCGCAGAGTCCCAGGTCAACAAGCTGAGGGCCAAAAGTCGTGACATTGGGGTGAAGGTAAGGACCTACCCTTAAGACTAACCCTAGCCCAAATTCTATCGCTACTCCTATTCCTAAGCCTAGCTTAACTCTACTCCTAACTCTACTCCTAAGCCTATCCCCAATCCCTACCTTTAACCCTACCCCTAATCCTACTCTTACTCCTACCCCTAACTTTGCCCCTACTTTAACCCTACTCCTACACCTAACCTTAACTCTATTTTTACTCCTACTCCTACCCCTAACTCTGTCCCTACCCCTTCCTTAACCCTACTACCTCTAACCTTAACTCTACTCCTACCCTACCCCTAAACTTAACCCTACTTGTACTCCTACCCCTAATTCTACCCCTACCCTTACCTTAATCCTACCCTTACCTCTAACTTTAACCCTACCCCTAACTTTAGCCCTGCTTTTACTTCTACTCCTACACCTGACTCTACACCTTCCTTAATCCTACTTCTGCCTCTAACCTTTACTCCTTACTCTACCTGTAGCCTTAACCCTAGTCTACTCCTACCCCTAACTCTACCCTTACCCCTATCTTGCCCCTATCTTACCTCTACCCCTACCCCTAACTTTAACCTTACCCCTAATCTTAGCCCTACTCCTAACTTTAGCCATAATCCTTCTCCTACCCCTACCCCTTCCCCTACCCCTACTCCAACTCTAACCCTAGCCCTTTCCACATTCCTGCCCACAACGCTAACCCAACTCAATCGTTTCCTTCCATCCTTTCTCACTTTTCTTCCTTTCTTCCCCAGCCGAAAGGTTTGTACGAGGAGTAACTCCTTCGAAGACCAGATGGCCAGCTCTCCAAGAGACACCCCCCCCCCCCCCCCCCCCCCCCCCCCAGACCTAAAAGGCCCTGGGAAAACCTCTCCCCCATCTCCTGCGCTCTGTATATCAGCATTGCCCTCTTCTCCAAGGTAGAATAAAAATGATGAAACAGATGGTTTGTTTATTTATTTAATTTTGTATCTAAGGCGGGACTAGAACTCACCATCTCCTGGTGATTGGCCCCAAGTCACCCAGCTGGCTTTCAGGCCTAAGGTGGAACTAGAATTCACCATCTCCTGGAGTCAGGCGATATCCCCTTTTGCGACCTTCTGACAAGCAAAGTCAACAGGGAAGCCAGATTCACTTAACGACCGGATTACTGACTTAAGAACTGCAGAGATTCACTAAGCAATGGCAGCAAGAAAGGTCACACAATGGGGTAAAACGCCCGGGTAGAACCACATTCACTTCGCAACCATGTTATTAAGCTAACAACCGCGGCGATTCACTTAACAACAGCGGCAGGAAAAGCCGTCAAAAGGTGCAGAGCTCCCTTAACAAACATGTCGAGTTAGGCAGAGAAACTTTGGTCGTAGGTCGCAGTCATAAGGCGAGGACTGCCTGGATAAAAGCTGACCATGGCAGGATTTCTTCCTAGTACACTCTGAACAGACACGAAAAAAGAAACTTGCGATCTTTTTTGACTACTTTAAAGCGGGCTTAACCCCAAATTTCTTCCTAGCAAATTCTGAACAGACAAAAAGAAAGAAAGAAAGAAAGAAAGAGAGAGAGAGAGAGAGAGAGAGAGAGAGAGAGAGAGAGAGAGAGAGAGAGAGAGAGAGAAAGAAAGAAAGAAAGAAAGATGGATGCAACCTTTTTTGACAACATTAAACCCACATTTTTCAACCCTGGGCACTTTTATGAGGTGTGGACTTCAACTCCCAGAATTCCCCAGGAGCCATTCCTTCCCTGAGAGAAACACAGACTTTGCTTTTTCTTTCTTTTTAAATGTGTCCATTTTAGCCCTTCTTTAGGTCGGTGCCAGGTTGGGGGAATAAGGCCCTGGAAACTGGCTGCCAGGCCGCATTTGCAGATGGAGACAGGGGTGTGTTGCCTGCTAAGCAGAAAGCTGCTTAAAATATGCATATGTGCAAATGAGATAAGACCAAACCTGATTAGGGATCACAAAGCATTAAAGTCTCGATACACAAGGAGATTAGGAAAGATCAAAGCACACGCCAGGGTCCAGATTAGACTGTCTGAGGCTGGATTTCTAGATTAAGCTGATTTAATAGGTCGACACTATTAAAACGGGCTTTAGGAGGGGCAGGGTCGTGCGTGGCTATTGATAGATCTTTTTAATTAATTAAATGAAGGGGGGGAAAGAATATATCAAACGGGCTTTTTTCCGAACAGATCTACTGAATCCCCCTGACAGAGCCAAGAAATTCAGCCAGGGATATTTGGGGCTGGAAAAAAAAAATGACAGAAAAGTCCTTTTCTGAATTTTGCTACAATGCTGGGCTTTTCTGGTCCTGCATTAGGAGAAAGTGAGCCAAGAGATGCTCAGCTCGAGTAAGCGAGTCAAGCCGCAGCCTGCGAGAGAAGGCAAATGTAAAGTGATTTGCCTCATCTGCCTCCCTTTTTCCTCCTATGTCTCTTCCACCACATGGGAAATTAAACGTAATGCTTTCTTTTGTTTTATATATCCTCTCATTGATATCTTGATCTCAAAGCCCTCAAGTCGAGTTTTCAAGAGAGAACAGACAATTTCCTAAAAAACCTAAAATCATCATCTTTTAACGACTGCGGGGTGGAGTCTGGGCAATTGAATTGAGCTAGCAGAGTGTTTTAAGGGCAGGATGCCTTTCCTGTCACCAATGCGGAGTTTTGTTCCTGAAAATCCTATAATAACTGCACTAAAATGTTTCCGGTAGTTTTATATACTGCTGATCCAAAGGGAGAGAAAGGGTGATGTGGAGGAGATGTTTTTGAGCATACAGGGTGATCGTGTGCTGCAGATTTGTCAAAAGAAAACACAAAATGGCCACTTTGATGATGCTATAACCAAGTCTGTCTCTTTTTAAAAAATCTTTTTTTTACATCTTTTTAATATTTCTCCTGCTGTTGGAAGGGGGGCTTCAAACAATACCATGCATTTCCTGTGGCCTGGTTCTCACAACCTCCTCAGTGTAGAGAAAAGTCAAGATTTACACTTAGGCAAGAAAAACCAAAAGTACACATACAGACTGGGTGAAACCAGGCTTAATAGCAGTATCTGTGAGAGGGATTTTTCTGCCTAAGCAGGGAGTTCGACTAGAAGATCTCGAAGGTCCCTTTCAACTCTGTTATTTTATTCTACTCTACTCTATTTTAACAGATCGTGGAGTCTTAGTGCAAAACCAGCAAAATATGAGCCAGCAGTGTGCGGCAGCAGCAAAAAAAGCTAATGCAATCCTAAACTGCATTAATAGAGGGATACAATCAAGATCAATATGCTGTAAAGCCTTAGTAAGGCCACACCTAGAGTACTGCATCCAGTTTTGGTCACCACACTTATAAAAAGAGATGTTGAGACTCTAAAAAGAAGTGCATAGAAGAGCAACCAGGATGATGAGGGGACCAGAGGATAAAACATACAATGAATGGTTACAAGAACTGAGCCTGGCTAGTCTAGTGGAGCGAAGGACCAGGGGAGACAGGATAGCAGTCTTCCAATATTTGAGGGGCTGCCACAGAGAGGAGGGAGGGGGGTCAAGCTATTTTCCAAAGCACCCGAAGGCCAGACAAGAAACAATGGATGGAAACTGAATGAGGAGAGATTCACCCTGGAAATAAGGAGAAATTTTCTGATAGCGAGAACGATCAACTGATGGAGCAGAGGTTTCCTTCAGAAGTTGTGGGAGCTTCATCCCTGGAGGCTTTCAAGAAAAGACTGGACTGCCCATCTGTCAGAAATGGTGTAGGGTCTCCTGCTTGGGTGGGGGGGGTTGGACTAGATGACCTACAAGTTCCCTTCAGACTCTGTTCATCTGTTAATCTGCCCCTCCATGGGGCAGCTTCTGCCTATTTAATGGGAACTGTTAAAAGACGATGCCAGCAAAGTTTCCACAGAGGCAGAGACTCAACAGGGCACTTTCAGAAGCTCAGTTTTATCCGCCCACCTGTCTAAGCACTGAATTAACGATGGGACAAGAGGCTTTGGGTCCAGCAGGTGCACCAAATCTTTGGAGACTTTAAAGGGGTTTGGAGGGATGGAGAGGAAAATAACCCAGTTAAACTTGCAAGATTCGTTTTTCTCGCCACGTACGTGTATTGTATACATCCAAACTACGGTAGATTGTGTTGTTTCTCGGTGTCATATATGTGGGTATATACACATAATTTTGTATTTGTTTATTTATTTTGTCATGTTCACGTAGTGTATATTGCAGGTGGGTGACCCTTTGAGAACTGTAGGCAATGAAATTTTACTTTAATGTATGCCAATCAATGTACATTCAAAGTGACAATAAAGTTATTGTACTCTTTTATTCTGTTCTATTCTATTTCTATATTCTATATTTCTATATTCTAATTCTAATTCTATATTCTATTATATTCTATTTTATTCTACCCTACCCTACCCTATCCTATCCTATTATTCTTATTCTCTTCTATTTCTATTTCTATTTCTATTTCTATATTTCTATTTCTATATTTCTATTTCTATATTCTATTCTAATTCTATATTCTATTTTATTCTATCCTAACCTATCCTATCCTATTATTCTTATTCTCTTCAATTTCTATATTCTATTCTATTTCTATATTCTATTCTATTCTATTCTATTCTATTCTATTCTATTCTATTCTATTCTATTCTATTTTTATTTCTATATTCTATTTTATTATTCCATTTCTATATTCTCTTCAAGATTGCATTCCTGTCTTGATTTTTTTGACCTCCTTGCAGAAGTCCCAGCGTGGATGGGCAAAGCTGAAGTGAAGTGTTAGCACTGCTTTATAAAGCCTTAGTAAGACCACACCTAGAGTACTGCATCCAGTTTTAGTTACCCCGCTATAAAAAAAGAGGTTGAGACTCTAGAAAAAATGCAGAGAAGAGGAACCAGGATTGATGAGGGGACTAGAGACTAAAACATACGATGAACGGTTGCAGGAACTGGGCCTGGCTAGTCTAGTGAAGAGAAGAGAAGGACCAGGGGAGACAGGAGAGCAATGTTCTAATATCTAAGGGCCTGCCCCAAAGAAGTGGGAGTCAAGCTATTCTATGAAGCCCCTGAAGGCAGGACAAGAAGCAACAGATGGAAACTAATCAAAGAGAAAAGCAACCTGGAATTAAGGAGAAACTTCCTAACAGTGAGGACAATTAATCAGTAGAACGACTTGCTTCCAGACACTATGGATGCTCCATCCCTGGAGGTTTTTAAGAAGACACTGGACAACCGCTTGTCTAAAATGGAATAGGATTCCTGCTTGAGGAGAGAGTTGAACCCTTCTTCCTTACGGCACCCCCTCAGATATTGGAAGACTGCTCTCGTGTCACCCCTAGTCTTTCTTTTCCTTAAGCTAGACTTATCCAATTCCTGCAACCATTTTTCATAAGTTTTAGCCTCCGGTCCCTTAATCATCTTTGTGGTTCTTCTCTGCACTCTTTCCAGAATCTCAATATCTTTTTTTCTTTCATGGCGACCAAAACTGGATGCAATACTCCAAGTATGCCAAGATATTATAAAGTGGTTCTAACGCTTTGCCTGATTTGATGCAGAATAGGTCACGTACCCCAAACATCCCACCACCCAAGAACACGGAATTCAAGTCAAACTGATTCAAGTCCAGTCTGATTCTATTGCATATCTATTCCCCTGAGCACCTGAAGGCAGGACAAGAACCAAAGGATGGAAACTCCTCAAGGAGAGAAGCCATCTAGAACTAAGGAGAAATTTCCTGACAGTGAGGACGAGGGAGGGAGAGAGAGAGAGAGAGAGAGAGAGAGAAAGAGAGAGGGAGAGAGGGAGGGAAGAAGGTTTGTAGAGGGGATGAAATTTGAAGAAGGAACATCAGCTACTGAGATGAAAGCAAAACAAGAAACAATGAAGGG